AGAGAGAGAGAGAGAGAGAGAGAGAGAGAGAGAGAGAGAGAGAGAGAGAGAGAGAGAGAACAATGCCTGAGCCTCAATCATTCCGTGGAAGAAGGCTTTACGTTCTGCCGACTGCAGTATCATACATTATGCGGGTGTGCACCTCACACAGACACACAGCCCCACCAACTTCTCCTGGCTCCTCAGCTCTCCTCTCCCGCTCCCTCTGCAGAGCTGAGAGCCCCAACGCCAACCTGCATCAACATCAGCAGCCTGGGCCTCTCCAGCAGGGGGACCCGGGAGAAGGGAGCCGGGATTCTGTTTCCTACCCAGCTTGGGTGGGAGTGGTCCCGGGAGTTTATCTGGCTGGCAGGAACCTCCGCTAGCCAGCAGAGCAATCCTCTGCCTGACAGGAAGAGGACAAAGAGCCCAGAGGAACCTGGGGAGTGGGGCCAGTATCCTCAGTGGCTAGATAGCACTGCAGCTCCAACCTGAGCCCTATGGATGAGCTGCAGTGTCCCTGAGAGAATGGACTGGGAAGGGGCTAGGCCTGGAAGGACTGTGGGATGGGAGGACTCCATCTATGTGACTTTGAGAAAGCCATTATCACTGCTGGGTAAAGACTTTCCAGTACAACCGTTTGGGGCTGGAAGAGAAAGCACCCACACTCCAGTGAATAACTCAGTCACCTAAGCTCTGTAAGGAGGCCCAATAAACTGACTCCCCAGAGTGAACTTTGGTGGAATTGTGCCTCAGTTTATCCTTGGGACCTGCAGAGGAGGAGATGTTTACCTCTCCTCCCAACCACCCTAAAAAGGAATTTTAGCATCACAGGTGGGAGTTTTGGAAGAGCAATGGTATCGTCCATAATATGGGAAATGAAGCCAAGTTGCTTGGAGGAGGGGAGAGACTGTTTACAGAGGAAATTTTGACATGGTGGATATCCATATAGGGTTTGCGGGACAGTGACAAGGGGATGGAGACTGAGACATCTAAGGTGAAACCGCCTAAGTGATGGAGCCTGTCTGGGGGGAAAAATCCCAGGCTGGTGGTCCTCTGGGTGGTGTGGAGTGGCACACCTGCTTGATGGGCAGGGTTCACCCAGGGAGCGGGGCGATGCCTTGAAAACAGGCATTGCAAGCCCAGGAGTGGTGCATGATGGGTAGAGATCTCAGCAAACAGCTGCAGGGGCAGCCTGGCCTCTGCCATGGGTCTACTCAAAGCTGAGGTGGCAGCCTGGAGGGAGAGAGCGAGAAGAGACTGGCCCTTCAGTAATGGCCGGAGACATAGCAGGTAAGGTAGACGAAAGAGAAGGGTAATTGGAGGTGTTGGTCTGTTGTTTTTATGGTTAGGGGACCAATACAGAGCCTCTCCTGGACCCTGTGGTGAGGGAGCAACCCAAAAGTGATAGAAGACATTACTTGGGTGCAAAGCTTCAATAGAGAGAAAGAAAAAAAAATCTCTGCTTTGGTGTGCAGAGGCCTTAATAATGGTCAAATGTGAAAGACTAAGAATCAGAACAGTGAGTGACTGCACCAGGCTTTTCCTTTTAGGCTGTCAACCAGCTCCTGAATCATGACACAGAGACTTATTAGGGTTTCTCTGTGTAGCTTTGCACCTGTCCTGGATCTCGCGCTGTAGACCAGGTTGGCCTCGAACTCACAAAGATCCGCCTGGCTCTGCCTCCTGAGTGCTGGGATTAAAGGCGGGCGCCACCACCGCCCGGCACTGGCTCTCTTAAAACTTAACTTAACCTGTTTCTCTTTATCTACCTTTTGCTTTGGGGCTTTTTACCTTTTCTTACTTTCTTGCTGTTTCTATGGCTGGCTGGCTGGCTGATGGCTACCTGGCTCTAGCCCCAGGCATTCTCCTCCTCCTCCTCTCCTCCTTCTCTCATTCTTCTCTTTTCCTCTCAAGCCTAGATTTTTCCTCCTGTTTATTCTCTCTACCTGGCAGCCCTGCCTATCCCTCTCCTGTCTAGCTATTGGCCATTAAGCTTTTTAGTAGACCAGTCAGGTGCCTTAGGCAGGCAAGGTGAAACAAATGCAACACATCTTTACATAATTAAGCAAATGCAGCATAAACAAATGTAACACACCTTTACACAGTCAAATGTTCTGCAGCATGAACACATGTAACACATCTTTACATAGTTAAATGTTCTGCAGCATGAACACATGTA